ATCCCCCAGCACCACATGCCAGCCAGCCCCGCCCCCTGGTGGGTTGAGCTGGCCAGACACACACACACACACACACACACACACACACACACACACATATTTAAAAAAAAACATAATCCGGGGCCAGGAAAAAGCGCTTGCCTGGCAAGCACAAGGGTCTGAGTTCAATCCCCGTTTGGGGGGGGGGGGGTCCACACATAAAAATCGATAGTATCCTGGAGAAATCCCTTTTCCATCAGACTTCGATGATGGCAGCAACCAATACTGAAAAGGTCCAATGATTCTCATTTTTTCCTCAAAAACAATTAGGGACAAGTGTGCTGGCACACACTGTTAGTCTCAGTACTCAGGGGGCAGAATCAGGAGGATTGCCACAAGCTACAGGCAAGCAAGCCTGGGCTACTCAGTAACTCTCCCTAAGACAACAAAGAACATTGATTAGGTTATCTGATTAGTAGCAACAGAAGACTAATTTATCTGAATTTTACTAAATCTTTTCCTTCCTTGATGCCTGTGATGTCTGACTCAGTCTCAAATTGTGGTTGCACACAATTCCTTTATTGCCGCATTAGAAAAAACTCTGACGTCAAAAGAGACTCTCGGTTATAAGGCATGGATTTTACTACCCTCACCATCCCTTCCTCTTCCACTTTCCTTCTCCTCGCCTTCGCTTCTCCCTGCGCAGAAAACTCCTTGATCACTAACCACCCATAAGGCTCCAGAGCTCACATCCCACGCTTTATTCCTACTATAATATTCCTTTAATATAAAGTCCACCTCAATCAGCATTTCAATCCTTAAAAAGGCGTCTGCCGTGCAAGGCCTACAACAATTATTTGAGGTGCCGCCCCCTCTTTTCCCACTCCTTCCAAACCCCAGGTCCATGTGGATGTCCCACTTTCGTCTCACACTGTGTGCAGAGCTAGCAGCTCCTTCCGGAAGTAGTCTTTAGCCATTTTCTCCAGCCCTTGCTAAAACCTTAGTAATCTCTGGATTTCTCTCAGCATTCTAAACTCTGTGGGAGGGCCAGCCAAATAGCTCAGCGGATTAGAGGACATACAAGCAGCAGCAGGGGCCCGGGCCTGCCGGAGCCTGGGGGGCGGGGGGCCGGGGGTTCGCTCTGCCGAGCAGCCCCGCCCCCGAGGCGCACTGAGAGGGCATATGAGACTGGGAGTGGCGCAGCGCCTGTAATCCCAGCTTCTGGGAGGCTGTAAATAGGCGGATCACTACGAGTCCAATCTAGCAGTGAGAACCTGAACACCCTGTAGACCCTTCCCTAAAAATACACACACACACAAGGCACTTTAAGGGAGCCTGCCAGTTAGCTCAGTTATTTAACCGCCTGCTTATACAAACGCACTCAGGCGCAGGATACCGCAGTTCGACCCCCAGCTCCACATAACTTACCAGACCCGCCCTTAAGGCGGCCAGAGCCAGCCCCCGCCCCCCCCAAAAAAATCCTTCTAAACTCTATGGGAAGACCTCACAGAAGCAGTGTCTCTGTCAGCAGAGGTGCCCCCTGAATCATTAGGATTATCGTTTTTCCACTGCTGAGCAATAGAATTCACTGTCTGCTTGAGAAGCGCTCCACCACCGCCTCACACCGCCTGCGATGTCTCTCTCTTTCTTTCCTGGCTGGTTGTTTGACTCCGGGTCTTACTCTTTATTTAAGGCTGACTTTGAACTCACAGCGAACTTCCTGCCTTAGTCTCCCAAATGCTGAGATTACAGGTGTGCACCACTGCGCCTCGCGGTCCTTTCTTTCTTTCGATTCTCGCGGCATTATTCGTCGCTTAGCCTGTGCCTGGCAAGGCGGGCACACATCGGAATTTCTGCAGCTTACCCTCACCACGATACAGAGAAGCCCTGGCCCGAGCAGCTGTATCACAGATGCTTATAAAACTGAGGCAGTACTCCAGGCCTGCTGGAGGGACGAGGAGACGGGGATCCCGCACCCCGCTCCCCCAGCAGGGCTCCCCGTCGGAATCAGGGTTTCGGCGCAGCTCCCGCTCTCCGAGCACCGGCGGAGACGCAGCTGCGGGCTGCAGCTGCCTGCCAGCGCGCTCCAGGCTGCCAGGGCGGCCGTGGGGCGACAGGGTGCCGGCTACACCACCCAGACCCGCCGGAGGCGGCGAGCGAGGGCCGGGGTGCGTTTGGAGCGCGCGACTCCGGAACCGCGAGGCGGCTGCGGCTGCCATTGCTGCGGCGACCACTTCCGCCCGTACCTCACCCTATCCCGGCCTTTCCCGTCCCGCATCAGGCACCCATCCCACAGTGTCACCATTGCGCGGCTGGAGGGTCTCCCCGGTGTCCTTGCAGCCTGCAGCCAGTAGAAATCCTAAGAGCAGGCGGTGTTCCCGGCTAGGGCGGCTCTCGGCTCGGACCTCCGGACCCGGGCTTTGGAACCAGGAAACGGCCCTCCGTGCTGCGCGCCCTGATTGGACAGTTCGTAAGGCCGCCCCTCGACGCTGATTGGCTCTGGCTCCATCGCCCGCCCTCCGAGCAGAGGGACCGCAGCGGGGGAGCCTTTTTTGTTTTCTTACAAGTATTCTTAGCAAATTTACTAAAAATAAGCGAAAAATAGAATATAACTGAAGATAGAAACGAATGAAACAAACTTGAAATGTAATTTAGTTTATCTGTTCTCTTTGTGTGCTCGCCACACACACCCGGGTATTGTAGCCCACATATTCAGTTTTTCTCCCGGGATGCCGACCCCATTCTAGCCATTTAGGAAGAGTTCAACTCCTGGCTTTGCAGAACTGCTGTTGGCTATTTTATTTTATTTTTATTTTTTATTTTTTGGCGGAACCGGGGATTGAACTCAGGTCCTTGCGCTTGCCAGGGAAGCGCTTATTCCACTGAGCCATCTCCCCGGCCCCGGCCCTGATGTCTATTTTAAAGACACGGTTTTGGTATGTAATTTAGTCCGTCTTTGACCTCACTATGCCGCTCAGGCTGGCCTTGAGCTCGCTGTGATGCATCACGGTGCCTGGCTACTCCAGTCTTCTTACTGGACTCAGCCGGCCCTTCCCGGCGTGCTGCTCTGCCAAATGGGCTCTCCAGTCTGCTAAGCCAGTTCCAGAGTTAATTCATCAGCATAAGGAGTCCAGGCAAGGCCAGGATGCCACGGAAGAGAGGGAGGCCCTGCGGTAGTGGGCGGTGAGACATTAGAAATAAGGTCGTTGGCTTCACAGACAAAACTTTCTCCTACTGTGTCTCTCGATTAACTCAGTTTAAACCAAGAGAATACATGCCAAAGAGAAGCATATGGTTGCCAAATAAATGCACTTTCCCCTTGGAGGCAGGGAAAATAAAGGGCTCCAGCCTGTAAGTGCCCTGTAGTTCCCTCTCATAATTTAAAACAATATTGCTAGAAGGAAACTATTACCTAGAGTCCTGTTACACTCTTTTTTTTTTTTTTTTTTTTTTTTGTAGAACCAGGGATTGAACTCAGTACCTTGCACTTGCCAGGGAAGCACTTATTCTACTGAGCTATCTTCCCAGACCCACTGTTATACTCTTGATTAATACCTTGTTTGGTATGAGGTCATAGGCTATCAGTAAAGCACGCTTCTCATGTGTCTTCTGATTGAGTCTTGGAGGTATGACAGCAGGGACCTTATGTTCTCCCCTCCTCCTCTCTGACATCTGTTTTGCTCCATGCTTCCTGGTTCTCAGGTAGCATTATCTTTCTTTCTTCATTTTCTTCCACTAGGATATTTCTTCCTTTGTCAGAGAACAACCAACTTTGGTCTGGAACCATGAGCGAAAATAATCCTTTTAAAGTCCCGTATGTCAGGTACTTTGTGCCTACAACCAAAACATTAGTAAAAAGGACTGTAGGTATCTGAACAAAATAAACTGCCAAATGCATCAACCCTTTCATTAGAAGTCTAGAGGTTGGGGCCGGGGAGATGGCTCAGTGGAATAAGCATTTCGCTGGCAAGAGCAAGGGCCTGAGTTCAATCCCTGGTTCCACAAAGAAAAAAAGAAGTCTATATAAGTGAGTGTTCTCTATGCATGATCTTCATAGATTTTCTTTGTTTAAGCATATGTTGCTCCTGACTACACCACTGTGCATATGAGAACCACTTCCCAAGGAAGGACCACCATGCTAACCAGCAAGCACCTCTGAAAGAACAAAAGTTCAGAACACTTTTCACACATGTCACCTACTTTCCACTGTTCTACAGCTTGTGGCTGTCACCACTCTTTCTAGAACTCTTCAGAGCAGCTGCAGGCATGAGATCTGTAGCCAGGAGTTCTGAAGGCATCACTGTGACCCTTCTACTTTAGGCTCAGGGTACATCTCAGCTTCGAGTCATGGATTTAGGACTGTGCTTCCTGCTGCAGTTTGTTCGCCTGCTTTATCCAAATACTGGTGAGTTATAATGTAAATAGGTTCAAAGCAAGTCTTTATGTTCAAACCAGAAACATCTTAGTTTTCTTTCTGTACTTATTAATGAAGAAAACAAAATTTCAGGATACATGTGGATTCAAAACGTGCAAGAAGGGCTGGCGAGATGGCTCAGTGGTCTAAAGCACCTACTTAGAACAAACTTGGCAAAGCACAGGGACTGCGGTTCAATCCCCCAGCACCACATGTCAGCCAGCCCCGCCCCCTGGTGGGCTGAGCTGGTCACACACACACACACACACACACACACACACACAATAAATAAATAAATGTTAAAAAAAAAAGTGCAAGAATTATTATTATTATTATTTTTGGTGGAACCAGGGATTGAACTCAGGTACTTGTGCTTGCCAGGGAAGCGCTTATTCTACTGAGCCATCTCCCTGGCACCAAGAATTATTAATTATTGAAAAATGTAGATATCATGAATTTATATCCATATGAGAAATACATAGCAAAAAGCTATCACTACAGCGATCTCCACTCCCTGCCCTCTCCCAAGCCTCATCCTTTGATGTCCTATCCTGGCCTTCTCCTCGGCAGGTACCCATAATCCCTTTTACTAAACTCTCCTCCTTGTGACATATAAAACCCCTCAGAGCCTGTAAGAGAGTCCCAGACTGATTTAAGCACTAGGCTCATTTCTCTCACTTTTTTCTGAAATAAGCCTGTCATGCTGGGCTTGTATTGTTTCTTTTCCTCCTTTTTTCCCTAACAAACTTCGCTTCCATTCGCTTAGTCAAGGATGTCTGTCTCCAGGCAGAAATGTGAAATAAGGTGAAAGTGCCTATTGTTCCCTTACACTCTCTCCTACATTGTTCCTTGTCATAAAGGACTCCCTCACCGGTAGTTGGTGAGATGAGCTCGAGGCAAATAGGCCCCTCCATCTCCTCAGAGCTAGCTTTGAATAAATCCTTTTGTAAAACTTTTCAAACGGTAGGGACTCCCTTTATTGTAGACAGCTAAGTTAGATAAAAATTAATATACAGTCAGAGAGATTGGGCTTACAAGGAAATCAACAATACAAAAAAAAAAAAAATCGAGATTGTAGCTGGAGGGGCCAGCCGGAGATGCAACAGCCAGGCTCCCGTGCCTCCCTGAGCGATGGACAGCAATCTGAGATCGTCCTGTAAGTGGCACCACCTGGTCCAGGAAGTCCAGCTACGCATCAGACACTGTGGTGCATTCCCAGAGCATCCGGACCCAAATGTTTCTGTCCTTTCCAAATTCTCTTCTTCCACGACTTGGGTCCTTAGTGGATCAATATAAACTAAGTGGCCGTACTTGTAATCCTATAGGTTTTTTTTTTTTTTTTTTTTTTTTTTTTTGCGGAACCAGGGATTAAACTCAGGCCATTGCGCTTGCCAGGGAAGCGCTTATTCCACTGAGCCATCTCCCCGGCCCCTATAGGTTGTCTTTGTGCACACACACTGTGTCTTTCCTACATAGATGACCCCTAACAAAGGACCTTGGTGACCACTCACTCAGGACTCTGAAAATTCAAGCGCTACTCTTCTCTGTATCTCCAATAACACCCTCCTAACTTCCTCCTTTCATTTTTTTTACTTCATTTCTCACTGCTATGAGACTTTGAATCAGGAGCATTTGACATCTAACATGTCAGAAGTTACATTTCTTCTGTATCACCTTGATTTGCTCTGCAGCAAGCCAATGATTGTGAGCATGAAGGCTAAGTGGCCTAGGGGCTGGGAAGATGGCTCATAGAATAAGCACTTGCCTAGCCAGTGCAAGGGCCTGAGTTCAATCCCCAGTTCCACAAAAAAAAAAAAAAAAAAAAAAAAAAGGCTAAGTGGCCAGTAACATTTTGGTGACTGTGAAGGGACTTGAGTCCTTGCCACTGACAGCCATGAATCATGGCAGCCATTTGTGAAATGGGACTGATTAGTCCTGGCTAGCTGAACTCACAGTTGGGCCCCGGGGTTATTCTAGCAACTGAGAGGGACACATTTTCTCCTAGGAATCTTCTTACATAACCTTCAAATCGCTCTGATGCTTTTTTGTGATGCAACATAGAGTTGAAGGTTCTTCAACCATTCTTCCACTAAAAAAAGAGATTTTAAGTAGATAAAGATCCCAGTGATGTGTTCAATGAGTTCTGCTACAGACTGCTGAGGAATAAAAATGTCTTTGCGAGTTAGCAGCTTTTTATACAGTTTTAATCACTATGATTTTTACTGTGATACAACACAGCCTGTATAACTGCAAGTGATTTCTGCCATCATGGGCACTGTCCTAACAAATCCTCGGGAGTAACCGTGGCCAGGATAACATCCACATCTGCTTTTTCCCTGGTGTTTTCTGGCTTAGTGGTAAGCTCAGAAAGAAACTTATGTGCCACGAATAACAGCACTACTTGACTAATTTTGGTGAGTTTCTTGTTGGGGGTTAATTTTCCCCTCATTATAGCTAACAGTTCCTGATTTGCCTTCAACTATTGTTTCAAAATATTTGTCAAATGGTTGTCAGGTAGTTCCTTTAGAAATGGGTCCTAATCGGGGCCAGGGAGATGGCTCAGTGGAATAAGCGCTTCCCTGGTAAGAACAAGGGCCTGAGTTCAATCCCCAGTTCTGCCAAAAAAAAAAAAAGAAAGAAAGAAAGAAATGGGTCCTAATCAAAAGGATCATGTGGAAGACAGGCATCTCGGAGGAGAAAAAGTGCATGGCAGAAGGTAGCAAGCAAAGAAAAATGAACCTGGGCTGGGGAGATGGCTCAGCAGAATAAGTACTTGCCTGGCAAGCACAACCGTAGCAGCTTTTTTGTGCCTTTTTCATATTCTGAATATGCTACCGCTATTAGGACAGAGCCAAACCAATCAGAGGGCTGATTTAGTAATCACCCACACTTAATCCTAGCTTGCTTAATTTTAGCATTGCACCATGAATCAGTCACACTGACTCTAGATTCAGTCACATCTTTTTTTTTTTTTTTTTTTTTTTCGGAACCGGGGATTG